ATGATTTTATTTGGGTCACGCAGTCCCAGGACAGCGATACATTGAATACAGTGGTAGGCAGTTGTCCATTTATTTATGGGAGATCACACTGCGTTGAATAATTGCTGTCTTACGCGGGGGGTGGGGGTGGGGTGGGGGTGATACATAGCTGGGTAGGGAGGAGCCCCTGAGTGTTCAAAAGTGTGACCATTTTTATACCTGGATAGTGGCAAAATCTATACCCATATTTATACCAAAGTAACATTTCTGTCATCAGTTTATTCCAAATAAAACAGTTACCGTATTTGCTCTATTAGAAGAGCATCTACAATAAAAGCACATGTAAGCCAACAGTTGCATTGTATCATGGTACCTTCCATGATTGTATATTGATTTATAAATATTTATTTTGACCATAGAAACACCTCTGTCAATTACATAAAAGCATATTGGACGTGGGCGTTTCCTTATCCAGGACATTATTATTGATCGTTTATTTAATTTATGTACATTTTTCACTTGATTTTTTTTATAATGTTGTCTATAAATAAATTTTGCACACAAAAAAAGTCAATTGTTCCAATTCAGTTACACTTTAACACAATGTTCAGGTTATTTAGGTTGAGAAACAACAGTTCGCTTTCTCTTTGATCTCCTTATGGGTCCGCTATCAGAAACAGGGGGTTGAACAACAGTGCGCTCAGTGCCATCAGAGTTCATGTTCTGATCCCGATATCGGAAAAATATTACCGATATTTATACCTATCTTGACCAGAAATAAGACCGATATTTATACCTAAGATCCCAAAACGAGACCAATTTCAGGGGCACGTCCCCATTAGGCGAGTTCTATGTATTTTGTACATAGACTATTGTTCACCGGACATTGGACATTGGACATTTCCTTGTGTCATCTACTGCACTGGTCAGACTGGTCAAACTCTCACGTTCGTCGGGAATCTAAAAATAGACAGTCAAACTATATCTTCTCAGCATGCGGTGTAGATTCAAATGACAAACGTTGTGTTTTGAAGAGGAAACGTTTTTCGGCACTTCGCCTAAACGTATGCATATCATGCACATCTTTCGTGATATATATATCACGTAGACAATAATTATTTAATTCGAGTTTGCGTAATCTCTAATCGAATACCCCCTCACAATGGCACGTACTCTGGGTAGTATATAGCCCGTCTTCTTGCCAGAACATTTTATCGTTCGTACATTGAACTTTATTGTTCCCGTTACAAATTATAGACTACATACATGATAGGGTGTTTGCAATAATTAGAATGAATGTACCAGTGGCGGATCTAGGGGGGGGGGGGAATTTATTCAATTTGTTTTTGTATAATATAAAAAATCAATAACTTAGTCTGCCAATTTTAAAATTTGGACCCCCCCATAAAAAATCCTGTATCCCTGTGTACTTAAAATCGTCAAATAAATAAATAAATAGAATCTGAATGGTATCGTATTCACATAAGCATTGGATTCAAAATATACCAATTTAAGCATTTTCACTTGTTTTCGCACATTCATAGGTAAACAGATTTCAAAGATAGAAAACATTCTTCATAGTGAATTATGTATTCTTGTTTGCTTCTGAATATGCGAAAAATAATGAAAAAGCTTATTTGTTGTATATTTTGAATTAAATGCTACTCCGATGTCATTACGATGCCAAACCGAGACCAATCCGATTCCAATAGCAACTTCACGCTGCTCATCGGTCAGTCATTCTTGAATACTGAACAGTTGCTCATGTCATGAATTAAAGGGTCAGAGCCTCAGTATGGATACAGTATATTACACATATGAACATAAATAATAAAGTACATTCAGTACATTAAACACTTATAAGCAGATTGTAACATTTGTGTACGGGATTCTAGAATTGCAATGATGTTATTAGCTTCTTTGGGATCTTTGAAAGCTTTAATCTGTGCCAAGTTTGTGACCCATCTAGGAATACACCAAGACCTCAATGCTGATCAGCCTTCAAGTTTGTGACGCATATAGGAATTCACCAAGACCTCATTGCTGACCAGTCTTCAA